ATATCCATGAGGATAAAAGTTATGAATTTTGGTTACTTTCAATAAAAAGATTAACCATAAAATAAAATTGTTAATATGATGCATGCACGTCAAAAGTAAATTATAAAAATGTATGGATATGATTGGTTGTTTTGTTTTAAGGTTTAAAAAGGTTACACATTGAACTTTTACTTATATAACATTAGGAAATATTTTAAATTAACTATTTTATTTTAGCATAAACCAACTATCTAGACATCTAATTAAAGACATCAAAGGACTTTCACTCCATCGGTAAACGGTGTTCTTTTTTTTTCGAGACCGACAGTTTAAGTTTTGTCTGGGAGTTAAGTGGAATTTGGAGTACTTTAGATTGACGGTCTAAAAAAATCTAATAAAAACTTCCATAATGCATTGAACATTATAATTTTTTATGAATTTTTACATTCTTTATTTTTTCCATATATCTTTACCATTTCTTTTACAATACATTAAACTTTACAAAAGTATAATGAAACGTATTAACAAATTATATTTATTTGTTTATTATTATATATTTTTGTCTGAAGTAACATAGTATTTTAGATTTTTCGGATTAAAAAAAAACCTAATTAAAAACATCTATAACATAATGCAATGAACTTTATAAAATTAAATGAATTATAACATTCTTATTTATTTTTGCATATAACTTCACTATTTCCTCTACAAAACTTTACAAAAATATAATATAAAATATTAAAAAAGTTATACTCATTTGTTTATTAAATTATATTTTTTGTTTCATATTTTTCTTATTGAACATTCAATAAATATTGAATTTACAAGAGAACTTGAAACTTGGATATACGGGCATAAACATAGTTGTAAATTATTAAGTAAACGAAATTACAATTTATCCAGCAAGTCTTTATTTGTTGAAAAGTATTGATGATATTGACATTAGGAACTTGTAAAAACACAATTTTCACAACAAAATTGACCAAACAATCCTTTAAAATGTGTCATGCACCTCGTAATGTTTTTAGAGCAACTGAAACATCAAAACTACTTTCTTAGTTAAGATCAGTTTTCAAGAAAAAAATGTTTTTAAAATGTCTCATGCACCTTGTATTGTCGTCTGGAAAGAAAAAAAAAAAAAAAAAGTGTTTTGAGTGTTTCATTACATATCAGAATTTATGTATTCTTTTATAGACCCGATTTCAATTTCAAAGTCAGCCATGTGAATTTTGATGACTCACAAGAAAATGTACAACTTTTCCGACCGACGTGAAAATCTCACTATCGTTGATATCGTAAGTGACCTCAGGGTTGGTGATTGTATAACTGAATGACTCAATGGTTAAATTTAGAAGTTGGAAGAGATAATTCGTGAATATATAATTACCGATATTAAGGATTTTGCTCTAAAGAGAGCATCAATTTTTTATATGGGTTCATTAAATAACAATCAATTTTTAGAAGAGAATATGACATATTAAGGTAATTAACTTTTCGGTTTATTCACACAGGTTAATTATTTTTTTTGTACACATCTAAACAACGAACATTTTAGAAGTGTTCACATATAACCATTATAACCTGCTGTAGCAGGTTACATCCGGTCATAATGGCCATATGTGAACACTTTCAATAAGTTCGTTATCTAAATATGTACAAAAAAAATAGTTACTCAAATATGAACAAAACGAAAATTAAGAGTAAATTGCATGAATGATCTTTGTGGTTTGGGGGAATTTGTACGTTTTGTCCCTAACTTATTTTTTTTTAACTCGAATGGTTCCTACTGTTATTTTTGTTGCGCGCTTGGTCCTTGTCTTACCTAAAAAGACTATTATGCCCTTATTAATTTATTTTTTAATTATTTTTTTTATTTGTACATTTATTTTTTATATATTTAAAAAAATAATAGACCCCACATATTTGTATCGCCTTATCCTAAACCCGAAACCATATTTGAGAAATTTAATCTGGATCCCACCGGTCACCATCTCATCTCTCATATTCCCCAACTTCTATTTCTTTTCCATCTTTAATGATATCGACATCTTAACAATCCCTTCTTTTTTTGGTACTTCAATTCCGATGAACCAACACCACAACCTACTACCTCTTCATCGAATTTTCAACAACCACAATTCAATGCATCACAACTTCTATTTCGTTTCCATCTTTTGTGGTGTTGGTTCGCCGGAGTTGAAGGATCGAAAAAATAAGGGATGGTAAAGACGTCAATGTCACTATAGATGGAAAGAAATAGAAGTTGGGGAGGATGAGAGATGGGATGGTGACCGGTGGGACCCAGATTAAATTTCTCAAATGTGATTTCAGGTTTAGGGTGAGGAGAGACATATATGTGGGTTTATTAATTTTTTTAAATATATAAAAAATAAATACATAAATAAATTAATAAGGGCACAATAGTTTTTTTAGGTAAGACATGGACCAAACACACATAAAAAATAAACAGTGGGGACCTTCCGAGTTAAAAAAATAAGTTAGAGACCAAACGTACAAATTCCCCCAAACCACAGGGATCATTCATGTAATTTACTCTTTCTTTTCGTTTTGTTCATATTTGGGTAATTTTTTTTTTTACACATATAGGTAACGAACTTGTTGAAAGTGTTCACATATGACCATTATGATCGGATGTAACCTGCTACAGCATGTCATAATGGTCATATTTGAACACTTACAAAAAGTTCGTTATCTAGATATGTACAAAAAAAAAAATAGTCCATAAAAACGTAAACAAACCGAAAAGTTAATTAATTAATAAGTCATATTCCTTTTTTAAAATTACCTCATCCATGTCACTTAAAGCTTTATAAAATCCTTAACAACTTAACTTCCGATTTCATTTCAATGCAATTGATAACACGACGGAATTTTATTTTAATCTGAAGAAGAAAAAAATTGTTTACCAAAGCCTATAATGAGTATAATCACATGCTAAAAGAAATCATATAAAAAACATTACCAGTTGCAATTATTGCAGTTCATTGAACAATATCTAATATTATGCCAATCTCATCGGTGTAAATATTTTAAATTATATGTATGTGGTCATACAACATTCAGCGCTCGTCTAAATTGTTGTCGACGTACTCAACACAAAAATATCCGATCAACTCTAGCAATTACAACATAACGGTGTCAAGTTATCTCGATGATTTAAAATAACGAATATTACTAATAAAAATAGTATAAAATTTATGTAATATTTGATTTCAAATAAACTAAAAAAAAAAAAAAACGAAGAAGAAGAAAACGAGTAAAAATGAATTATTAGCTGGAAAGCACTACCGTTGATCTTTGATTTCTGAATCGATGGAGGAAAAGAAATCCTGCGACAACCAGCAAAAAGATGCCTGCTATTCCGCAAACTAAGCTGGACACTATCAACACCTTCCTCACGTGATCTCCACCGCCTACGCGGCGGCTACTCCACGACGGATCACTGAAGTTTTTCGCCTCCGGTAGTGGCTGTGTGGTTGAAGAGAACCCGCCACCGAAGAACGATGACATCTGCGGAGAATCTGCTTGGGCCGTTTCCGGCGCCTCTGCCTCGTTAGGTAGTCCGTGACCCGATGGCCGGAGTTCCTTACTGTCGACAATCAGAATTGCGATAAGTGGTAAGCAGAGCGCCATTACTATACCCCAGCGCCACCAATTCTCCATCTGCTGTTATGTTTCCGTTTTCCTACTCCTACTTTTTCTTCCCTTTATTTCCAAGTTTTTGTCACTAAGTTACTTTCAGGTCTCTTGGGAAACTCTTAAATAAACATTACTTTCCAAAGTTCCTAAATAATCCTTTACTGTGTTTAAAAACAAAAAGTTATTTTCTATAAGATAAAATACTTTAGTGTGAGTTTACTCGTTTTATTAGGAATTATTAAATTTATATACAATTTCAATTTTAACATTGTGTTTATTTTTTCTCAGTTTAAACACTAAGTTTTTTTTTTTTTTTTTTTTTTTTTTTTTTTTTTTTCATTTTGCGTTTTGCGTTTTGCAAATTTAATTGAACAATATTTGTTTCAGTGTTTCATTTTTTCACTTGCTAATTAGACAAAAAATTGATGTAGCTTCCATATATGATATGTTGGTAATTTTAGCGTCACTAGGACATTTTGTGTAATTGGAAATTACATGTGAGCTAATGGACTTCGTAATTTGTACTTTAATATATGTTTGGGTATGTGTGGAGTGCATGTATGTATAAGATCGAATTAGAAGCCGATTCAACGACAAGTTGAGGGCCCGGGGGCAGCGCCCCAGGGTTCGAGGTTTCCAAAAGGGCAATGCCCCTTTGGCGGGCAGCACCCCTGGTTGGGGCTCCGCTGATGGCCAACCCTAAATCGGATGACGACCAACCCTAAAACGAAACCCTACATATCGTTTTCTAGATTAGTAAGTGTCCCCTTGTGATTATCCTAGGTTAGATTTCTTGTAACCCAGACATAAGGTAGAAATATCAGTTCGGAATGTATTTACACGATCCAAGGGGTATCCCGATCTCCACTATAAACCATACCCACTTTTCTAACATGATATGAGTTGGCAAACTTTCGGGTTAAATTGAATTGACCTAGATTTGAGATTTGTGTTCACTTTCCTTTAATTCTTCTTCTTTTTTTCTCACAGAGCATCACATATACAATGGTTTTCTAAGATCGTTCAAGTGTTTCATCATCCCAAAGTCTTGTAACGTCCTAAATTTTCAACCAAATTTAAATTTTTTGAAGTATAATTTAAACAACTAAAAGCCATATTTAATATATATATATATATATATATTATATATATATATATATATAAATATATATATATATATATATATATATATATATATTCATTTGATTCAAACATCATAAAACATAACATAGGGTTTAATGAAAGTCTCAAAAACATAATACAGATGCAAGTACAGTTACGCCACGGCTTTGCCTTCTCACCAGAACAACCTGAAAAAAACATTTAAATATATCGAGTAAACACAAAGTTTAATGAGTTTCCCAATACACTACATATTCCATTACACATACTTTGCACATAAAAATAAACGCTCACAATCTCATCGTGGGCATGTAGGCTCGCGGTCTAACACCATTCCACTATCATCCCATCGGACATGTAGGTTCTCAGTCATCATCACATCGAACTTGTAGGCTCTCAGTCATCATCCCATACGAAGGCATATGATATCATCATACGACCTTCCGACTATCATAACCAAAGATACTCTAGTGTAATCATAAATTCGTACAATAACAATACACATACATCCAACCACATAAATGACATATAATGTCACACATACACAAGTCTCCACAAACAAGTCAGCTAACACAAACCACCTAAATTCACCATGAGACGTGTTTCATTAATCATTACCGATTAGAGATCAAACCTCGGTCCAAAACTAATGTCCATTAAAGTTTGAACCAAAAGTCTGGTCAAATTGTTAACGGTCAACACGCCATGACCAGCTCATGGTCGCATGCGACCACTACAGTCCAAAATAGTCACGATCATTCCTTCACTTCGCGACTCGACCAAGGGTTGTCGTGTCACGTCTATCATACGATTCATGCTCTTCTGTTAAGTGTTTAATTTGTTCCGGGTAATTTTGCAAATTACACTATTTTGGGTAAGAGATAAATTTAGAACTCTAATCGTTGCTCTAGTGGCAATCCCGACAGAACTTCCACAAACATTTATGGAATTATTGTATAATCTCTATATCTTTTATCGATTTTTCCTCATTCGTTGTATTAATTACATAAGCTAAATAAGAATTACACCCTTTATTTAAGCATTTTCTAGCTGTTTCCATGCTTATAATTCGCGAATTAAAACTCTCTTGTCTTCGTAAATTAAAATTGGCTATCCCTCTAACATTTAGACTTTTACAAGTTTTCTCACCACAAATAATCTCAGCTTGATTTTTGCTCAACCAGTCCATTTCTAGTATAATATCAAACCCGCCCAATTTCATAGGTACAAGGTTTAAAAATGACTCCACCAAACTCTACCTTTACATCTCTATATTCTTGACTAACCAACACAAGATTTCCCTCAGCCACTTCCACTACTATTGTTGAAATAAGTTCAAATAAAAATAATCCAAAGCTTCCTACCAACGACTTTTGGTTGTAGCTGTTATTAATTGGACCACTGAATTTGTGTTTTTGCATGTAAAACGCTCATCTTTTGCTTTGCTTTTCCAACCTGTATCTTATCTTCCTACTAAAAATCCACTCAAAAATGTCTTTACTTTTTATGATCACTTATATTTAACTTTTTAGATGTTTGGAGTCAAATCAATATTTTTTAAATTATTAACATTGAGCTACACTCTTTCCGAGTTTCGTATAAGTTGACATGAATTAGTATGTCAGATATACAATGCATGTTTGGGGTGCTTTGCTCATATACTTTTAACCATATGTATTCTCTCGGGAGCACTATGGGCTAATGAAGCATGAGGATCATATTGGAGTTAGGATCCAAAGGAAAGTTAGGCCTTTATTCCCACTATTTGTGTTTATAATGCCAAAACTCTTATTTTGGAAGCAGAGGTGAGAGCTACGTTTGGATTTCTTGAAGATGAAGACTCCATCACATTTTTCTAAGGTTAAAACATGGACAAAATGGTAATTGGATTCCCTTATAATAAGCAATGAAGCAACTTATTAAAAAACTAATCAATCAATTTCAAACACCCCTCTACAATATGCTATTCAAATTAAGGTAATTTCGGTTGTGATTTTGTCCCCAAATATGTATAAAAGATGTGTAGAGGTTGAGGTTAAATACATATAACACCTTTTTGCATTCAAGCTCTTCTCATTATGGTTTTGTATGACAAAAGTAACAATCGATCTTATCAGAAACAGATTGAGCTGAAAATCATATGATCGTGATGGATTACAAAGAGTAGATAGAATGCTACATTGGATCGATGATGTATTTATATATATGAAATGAAAACAAACAAATAATTATGTGATGAGGAATTGATTCCCTAGAAATGATGATAAACGTATTTTAAGAGAAAACCGATAAAAGCAGGAAATCAGCGAAGTTCACAGAGACATGTAATTGAATCATAACATTATCCAATCCAATCCAATCCAATCCTGATGAATCCAGAAAACTTAACTATTAACTATCTGGTGATGAAAGAAGAGAGTATTACACGAGAATTAATTTGGGAATTATATCAACCGAGGTACATATGGATCCCGACTGCTAACAAGAAGATGCAGATGAGAGCAAAATAGATAACGGAATGAACCAGAATTGAAACACCGCTGGTCTTGAAATTACCAAACTCCACCATCTTGTTGTTCCCCGGTATCTGAATCAGCAGTCCCGGCGTCAGCAATATGAAGAGCACCACCGCCACGAACACCGGTCCCCAATCCGACATTTGTGTAATTTAAGGCTTAGGTGCTCTCGATCTATTTACTTTTCTGTATATCTGTACAATCTGTGAGGGTGTGCGATTAGTGTATATACAGTCGGATTTTAAGGATCAATAGTGGAGGAAGAGACAAGATAGGTAGCACCGCGGAAGGGGAAAAGTGAACGTTAGATTGCTTACTCAAGTTATTCCGATTCAACATATGAATCCCACTACGAATGGGATTTGGTGAGTAGATACCGAATAACTATTATAATTAAATGAAAAAACATCATAAATGGTCCTTGTGGTTACCCAAAATCTGAAGTTCAGTCTCCGTGGTTTAAAAACCTCATAGATGGTCCCTATGTTTTCAAAACTTTTGATGTTTGGTCCTTTTTGTTAACTCAGTTAAGTTTGTCCGTTAACTGAAGGGTATTTTCGTCATTTCACCACCACAGGTACCATTTATGATGTTTTCTCGTATTTTTTAAAAAACGAAAAAAATTAAACATAATTAAATATATAAAAGGTTTCTCTCTCTCTTTCTCTCTCTATCTCTCTCTCTCTCCCCAAACAAACCACCACATACCCTTCATCACCACCATTATCTTAAATAGGAGGGCTCTCTCTCTTTCTCTCTCTCTCTCTCTCCCTCTCTCTCTCCACACACACACATATACTGTATACCCACCTGTACACTTTTATTTCATCTTCTTCGTGTTTCCTCTTCTATCTCTTATAACTCTCCGAAAAATTATAACACATCGCACATACACACACAGAGGATGTGATTTGAAGCAA